TTGTGGTAAATGGATCAAATAAGAGAACATGTAAGAAGTATTTAGCACAGTATCAGCCATGCAGTGTTCAATGAACAGCAGCTTTCACGAGGATACACGAGAGGAGCCTAGGACAAATTTATTCCAGATTACTTCTCTCAGTGCAGTTCCCTCGGCTTAGTTCAGACGCTTTCTTGTTGGAGTTGGGTCCTGTTAACACAATTGCGAGACCTTGTGTGTGAGCAGCATTTTACTTTAAAATAAGCAACATTGGAGCAATTTTAGAATGGCAACCTATTGGCCCACATGCTCTCTGCTTGTTAAACTTGAAAGAGGGGAAACTATTGATAAAATGTAGAAATTCAATTCATTTCTTTGAAGAAGCATGTTTGCTACCAACCACAATGACCGCCACACACATGATGGATCTCACTATACCACTAAGATAGTAAATTATTTCTAAACAGGCACTTGGAATGGACCAGAATTGCAGTATTTTTATGCTCAAAGTATATTAACAAGAGAGAATTGTGGTTCTCATTAAATCTAGAAACAGGAGAACCAAGCACAGAGCAATAGGGGACTTTCAGTAGCAAGAACCTGAGAAAACAGAACAAAGACTGAGTAAAGAGTGAGAGGTGGGGAGTGTGGCATTGGAACTGGGCTCTTGTGAGGTTAGGGAGGAGTGGCTTAGGACCAGCTGCAGTGTGGCCATCCACACCCTGGTGCTCTTGCACCCAGTTCCAGCGGACTCCACTGGGTAAGTGTGGCTCTGCTGCAGGTAAACAAGCCACACAATGAGCAAGGCCCGGCTTCCTGGCCTATGGCCTGCACATTCTGAGGAAAAATTTAAATCGGTGCATTTTGAAACAAAGCCTAGGCACTAAAATGAAAGCCACAGGGAGGCAGGAAACCTGGGTGTCTTGTTTCCCAGCATATTCTGCCACCACCTTGGAGGGTGCTCCTCACCTTATAGATACTCAATAAAATGTAAGGAGAATAAATGGATCAATCAGTATATTATGAAACTATAAAAAACAAAAAACAAAAACAAAAACTCCAAACCCTCCATTACTCAAGGAAAGTCCATACATGAGAAAGGCAGACTGGGCTACTACTCAGAGTTTTTGGAGGTTTCCTTTACTTTCTTTTGCCTTTTACAGACAGCATTAGCCTCTTACTCATCTAGTAAGATTAAACAGTGCTTACTATATTTCTGGTACTGTTCTCAATGCTACCATTAACATCTTATGAGATCAGTGTTATTATTCCCATTTTACAGATGAGAAAGTTGAGGCAGACACCCTGTCCTTGTTCCTACAGCTAGTCCACAACAGCCATGATTTGAATGCAGCCAGTGTGGCTGCATGCAAAATTGTATTTTTAACTGCTATGATATTATATGGCTTCACTTTAATGAAGAATATGAGAAGTTCCAAGCTTGTTATTAGGCTCCATTTTGCCAGTTGATTAACAATTACTAGTTAAAATGAATAATTTCATCTTTTATCATCCTTAGAGGTGCTAGTACTATCCCCACTTTATGGATGAGAGTCACAAGATCAGAGAGGATAAGTGGATTGTCCAAGATCACACAACTCAGTAAGCAGCCATGCTGAGACTTGAGCACCAATATTCTGTCCCCAAGGCCCTTGTTATTAATCACTATTATCACCTAGATATTGCTTAGGTAAAAATAAAATCACCTAAGTTTAAAAAAGTGCTGTGGCTTTTATTCAATCCTCTCCTCACGCCTTTGTGAACATTAGAAAGGGGAGGCCTTCTCCTGCAGACACCCCCATACTGCAGTGCAGCTTTGGTGAGTGAGCCACGGGCTGGGCCAGGCCTTTCTCATTCCTGAGCCATCCCTTGTGCAGTGTAATCCCTGCACAGACACAGCTGACAGCCACACATTCAGCACTATGAAGGAAAAGGAATAGGACTCGCCATGATTCAGAAATTCTCCTTACAGAAGTCTTTAACTGGCATCTTTGGCAATATCCAAGCTAAGTACTTTCTCATCGCTCCCTATCAACCCTTGAGTGTTGGCGTTGGAGTTCTTTTCCCTGCCCTGTGACTGCCCCACAGGGACTTCTTCACTGTCTGTGAAGACCAAGGTCATGGCCCCCTAAGGAGATGTCCACACTGAGGTGGACCCTGGCCTACGGTGCCCAGGAGCCTCTCTCTGAGTGTGGAAGGACTCCCAAAAGGGGGGCTTTAATTTTTAAAACACTTTCCCACCAACATCAGACAGTCATGGATGCATCCAAACTCTTGCTCAGCTCTTCAAACAACTCCTGTGGTTGCACCCCCAAACGGCATCTTTCAGCTTCTCATTCACCAATTCTCATCCTTGGCAACGAGCCTTTCCTACTTCCTCTGGTTCACACTCGGCCTAGTTCAGGCTACAGAACACTCCCAACAAGATCCTTTTTTTTTTTTTTTTTAAATATATTTTATTGATTTTTCACAGAGAAGAAGGGAGAGAGATAGAGAGCTAGAAACGTCTATGAGAGAGAAACATCCACCAGCTGCCTTTTGCATACCCCCTACCGGAGATGTGCCTGCAACCAATGTACATGCCCTTGACCGGAATGGAACCTGGGACCTTTCAGTCTGCAGACCGACGCTCTATCCACTGAGCCAAACCGGTTTCGGCCCAACAAGATCTTTATTGCTTACCTGGTACCCCTTTAATCCACAGGGAGCTCTTGCAATCCAGTTTCATCTTAGGAATTTATCTCTGATACTTAAAAAAGGGCCCACCAATGCTATGATGTTTGGTTCATGTCAGGATAGAAGATAGTAGATGTCAACTTTCTCATGGTTGAAGGCTGGAAACTGACATTAAAAACTTGTGGAACTTAACTAAAGCATTAAAAATTCCAGGAAAAAAGAAAAAAACTAATAAGAGCAGCTATGACTTATTGCTATGATCTTGGCTAACTATTTACAAAATAACGTTATTTTATCTTCTACAGTCCTTAGAGGTGACAGTACTATCCTCTTTGGATGAGAATGAAAGTATCGAAATGGGGAATGGGTTGCTCGAGATCACACAGCTCAGTCAACAGACAGATGCGTACCTCAGAGCTCTTAATCATCATCCCTATGTTACAAAATTATAACCTTACTGTCTCCTTAGTTCATTGTGTCTGCCAATTAATGGATATTCCCATTGTAGGCAGGGGGAGAGAAGAGGGCATCTCTTCTGCCTGCTTCTGGCTGGTCCTGCAGCAGCTGGACACCAGAACTATCTGGTCACCTCTGGGTACTCTCAAGGCCAGTGAACTGGGAATCCTGAGGACACCAATATTTAGTTGCTATAACATCAGATTTCCCTGAGGTGTACACTAGGACACACTGACCGCCCTTTGGAGGTCTGTGACAGATGAATTCCTGCAGACACTGGCAGCATCTGCTCTTTGGCAAAGCCTTTGAGAGGGAGATCTGGAAGGTACCCTCCTCCTCCCTGGATCCGGGACCCTCGAGCACATAGCTGGGCATGAGCTTTGCTGGAGGGTGGGACTCCACAAACTCCTTTCATGCCACCATATTTGTCCAGCACTTAAATAACTCTAGTGCCTTCACACTAACTTCTCACTGAAACTCACATCAATCTGGTTGAATAGATAGGCACATGTTATGTGTACTTTATGGCTGGGATCCTGAGGACCAACACTTACACAATCTCCTCAAGGTCAACAGCTCATGATGACAGATCAGGCTAGCCAAAGGATACCTGCTTCCCAGACATAACACTGGGCTTTCCAATGCAATGTCTCGGCACCCATGTCTGCAGAGAAGGGAGAATAGAGATTTTCTATTGATGGGAGATTGAGATGCTCTATTTGTTGTTTTGGACAAGAAAACCAAAGATGCCAAATATGGTGCTAGTAATTGGCCACCACTTCCTGACCCCTGACACCTAACCCAGGAAATGTATGTGATGGGCAGTGTAGACCAAACACAAATGTTGGCTGGGTCTCGCCTCCACTGAGCCTGCTTTCTGCTCAGCGCTGTGCCCATGGAAGGCTGTTCCTGAAAACCGCCAGGTATTCTATCTCATTGCTCAGAGATGAGATTCCTACTCTCAGAGGTTTGGGGCCATAACAGGCTATGAGCACAGAATGTTCTGGAATGTGGTGGAGAAGGGGTGGCATTGACCTCCAGCCTGCATGAGATGTCCTGCTCACCCAAATAACTGGGTGTAACCACATTGGTTTCTGTGCACTGAATGGGTATCAGCTTCTGAAATCATCCTTTCACAGACAGCTTCTTATTCTCTGTACAAAAGTAATTTAAGTAAATTATAGAAAAAAATAGAAAACTGAAAGGAAAAATCAGTAACACCCAAAGGCAACCATTAATACTTCAATTTTTCTTGTGTCACGGGGCTTCCCAAATGCACATCCGCCATTGTCGGTACCAGTACAAATACTTGATCTGTAATGAGGATGCCTTATGTGTTTGTGTGTCTGTATTCATTGGATGTCTTGAATCTTTCCCATATAAGTAAAACTTCTTCAAAAATATTTAAAATGGTTATATACAAATTCCTTGCAAAATTGTGCCTAATTTAACTACCCTATTGTTAAATATTTAGCACTTGATTCCATGTATGGGTCATGCTGGGCTATAACATCAGTGTATAAAGGTCTAACTAAATTTCTCCTGATTCCTTAGGATGGATTCCTAGAAGTTAAATGATCAGGTCCAGGGGTTTGTACCTTTTATTGCTCGAGAAAGCCAAAGCTACACTAAGAGTTCTGACCTCCCATGAGGTCCCCTCATGACCCCTCTTCTTGCTTTCCAGTGCCCCAAATCTTATGCAGGACTGGGGGCTCCATTGATGTCAGATTGGGGCTCCCACTGTTGCCCTATTAGGGTTCATCACCACTCCAATCCCACAGAAACACACTTAACGTCGCACAGCCCAGGCATAATGGGCTCAGGGGGAAGCAACCGATCATCGACAACCACAGCTCTTCATGCAGGATGGGCACTTGAGGGGCACTCACCTGATAAGTAGCAATCGCTTCTCTGTCCAAGGTCCGTGTCACGGAGACACTGCCCGTGTTCTCATTGATTCTGAAAATCCCTTTAGGCTCTTGATCCACTCCCTTTCCAGTGAGCCGGAACTTGGATCCTTCCGGTCTGTCACTATCGACTACCTGGTCAGGGAGACAGAGTGACATTTAAGACTCTGGCGCAGAAAGAGCACATTACAAACACACCTCAGTGACCCAGCCACTAATCACAGGCACAACACATAGGTGCCTGGTCAACAAAGGAGTAAAGCAGCATCACCAAAAATAGCATCACCGCTTAACACTTTTCATACTGATGGGTCTAGGAGGAAAATAACTCCAGCAAGTTCAAGGTTGGACATTTATATTACTTTTAACTCCCAAGAAACATACTTTTTTTTTTTTTTTTTTCCCTGCAAGCAAGACCAAATAGGTGATGGGAAAAACAATGGCAGGAGATGACATTTGTTTGACAATCCTGACCTGGGCAGGCCTCAATTGAGGTACTAGGTATTTACATATGTCTTTACCTGCTCCATTGGTTCTTCAAGGTACTAGGCACAGTGCTGAGCAAGCATTTTACATACATTTTTAAAAACCTCACGACAATGCTGGGGTCAGGGTCATTATTATTCGCACTCAATGGATGGAACCATGGAGACACAGAGATTAAGTAAGCTGACCATGTTATGGCTATTAGAGATGAAAGTGGGATTCAAAACCTGGCTTCCATGTCTCTAGAAACATTGCCATGAAACACTGTCATTTCTGAACTTGCTTTAAGTTAACCCCCTACAGGTTGTTAGCCTAGCTTTGGCACTTGAAGAATAAATTCAGAAGATAAAGATGGAAGAAGGTATTTCCAGGCAGAGAGAACAGGACAGACAGAGCAGCAGGCAGGTGAGAGAGAGGCTAACGAATTTCAAAAGCTATGTCATTACATGTGTGGTTTGAGTAGAGGTGAGGTTAAGAGGTAATTAGGAACTAAATTATATTTTCTTTTCTTTTTCTAATATATATTTTATTCATTTTTTACAGAGAAGAAGAGAGAGGGATAGAGAGCCAGAAACATCGATGAGAGAGAATCATTGATTAGCTGCCTCTTGCACACCCCCCACTGAGGATGTGCCCACAACCAAAGTACATGCCCTTAATGGGAATCGAACCCAGGACCTTTCAGTCCGCAAGCTGACGCTCTATCCATTGAGCCAGACCGGTTTCAGCTATATTTTCTTTTCTTTATGGCATTTGAAGGTGTCCAATAGAGAGATATTATTACTTGGAAAAATCAGTTCTAAAGTTTGCCCAAGTATTCATCTCTTATTTCATGTCACTTTTTCATCAATATTTGCAAGTATAACAATAATTTAAGTCAGGAGAACAATCAATATTTGGAATGTACATATAAAGGAAAGCTTCATACTGATCCAGGTGCAATCAATTTAAAAATGAACAGGCACCTATTGGAACTTAGTCAACTGTGCCTGGAGGGTTTGGGTGAAATGTACGTTATATGGAATCAGCCTCCCTCCCACCAGACCAGTTCTGTGGCCACCAAGCCTGCATTCCATTGGGTACCACCAGGTGGAAGTGGTGCCTAAGGCAGAGTGACCCCCCATTGCAAAGTTCCTCTGCCATAACAGTTGAGTTCTATCTATATGGCAATGCGGTGTTTTCCTTATTTTAAAATATTCTTTATTAAAATACACTGAGAGTTTTGATCTGACAACAATGACATCTGTTTGCATTTTAAGATAACAGAAAATACCCAAACCAAGACTAAAGGTAAAGTATGATGAAAATAATTCTGATGCAAAGAATTATATTAGTCATTGCTTGGTTTGATTTAATATAACTGGCATTCTCCCCCAAACCTACTCCCTATTGCTTAGAAGCTCCATGGGGTCAACAGTCACAGCATATTGGGCTCACCACTGGATTTCAGGGCCTGGCTCTGTGCCTGGAATATAGCAGGAACCAAGGCCAACATCTGTTTAATGAAGAGCACTACTGTTCAGACAAACATATGTCCCAGTCCTAGCTCTGCCAATGATCCACAGTGTGACCTTGGACATCATACTTTGTCTTTTGATTTCCTCATCTTATTCCCCAGGTCGATGGGGATTTAATTGGACAGTGTGTGCAAAGTACAGATCTAAGCATGTGGAAGGGGCTTTATAAATGGTAGCTAATGACTGCAATACTGATAGCAACAATCATAACATTATGCCATTGTTAGTAATGGGTAAGATCACACCTCTAGGCATTAAAATCATCTTAGCCATAATATTTTATGAAAAACCCTAAGGGGACAAATTTCCTCTTCACAAACCTAACTGACTTGAAAAAAAGAAGGAGCAGCTGAGCTAACACACTCTTCTTTGTCATCTCAGTGTTTACTGTCTCTCCCATCTGGGTCTTACCACTCAGCCCAAATGTGGTTAACACCTTTCCTCTGGCTCTCCTAAGCACACCTGGGTGGCCAGTCCTCTCTAAAAGGCTGCATTACCCATGACAATCTAATGGGAAGTAAACAAGGGACACCTGCAAGCTCTGGAGCTGCCCTGCTTCCCAAGAACGGACTCCTGGCCCCACGTATCCACTAGGCATGGCCCATGGTGTGCACCTGCCAGGGGCAGCCTGCTCATTCTGTTCTCCTTTCCTGACCCCTCCTTGCTCTGCAAAGGTTAGGGAAGGGTCAGCATCCACACCTTTTGGTAGAAATAAGATGGTAGATGGTCCTGAAAGCTCTCTTGGGGCAAATATTGCCACCCTCCCATTTCTCCACCTGCCACCCAGCACAGAGACTGAATTCTCTACTCAGAAATTATCTTGGGGCAGCTTTTCTCCTGCTGTTAAGTCCAGGTTATTCCCTTGCTCACAGAGGGCTTGACCCACTTGACCTTCTAGAAGTAGGGTCTTGCAGAGAAGACTTTGTTTAATTAGCACTGGCTGCTCGATTTAAATGACTCATTCCTACCCTAACCAGTTTGGCTCAGTGGATAGAGCATTTGGCTCAGTGGACAGAGCGGACTCAAGGGTCCCAGGTTCAATTCCAGTCAAGGGCATGTACCTTGGTTGCAGTGGGGAGTGTGCAGGAGGCAGCTGATCGCTGTTTCTCTTTCATTCATGTTTCTGACTCTCTATCCCTCTCGCTTCCTCTCTGTAAAAATTCAATAAAATATATTTTAAAAAATAAAAATAAATGACTTATTCCCCAGGAAAGGAGCAAGTCCCCACTGTAAGCACCTCTGTTAGGCACCATGCATCTTCTCTCTCAGTAATCTTGTTTTTAAAGACTTGACTTTTAACACATCTGTTGAATCACCTGGTCCTAAGAGCTGTGTTCACATCCACACCAGGTACAGTGCCCAGGCTGCGCCATGAGAGTCCTCCAACACAGGGAAGTGAGGGCCTCATTCTCCCTGGAACAATGTCTCAGCTGCGCTTCCCTAGACCAGCATGGGCATCACCCGGGAACTAGATAGATACGGAGATTCTCAGGCTCTGCCCAGACATAAATCAAAAGCTCTGGGGCAGGGCCTGGCAATCTATGTGTAACCAGCCTTCTGGACAATCCTGAGGTATACCTGAATTTGAGGACCACCAATTTAGACAGATTTTATCACCATCTCACACATAACTGGTGCTGATTTCCACTGCTACCATTTGGAACCTTCTGCTGAAAAAAGGCTGGGTCTGTTTGCTACCTTCTTCCTAGACCTATTTTAAAAATCTAGTACTATTAGCAATTCTTTTAAAAACCTGTTTTCTAGAACATCTGCAAAGCGGATTTGGTACTTCCCCAAGTCCAACATCTCTACATGTCAAAAACATCCCATGAATTGAAGGAACCTTAGAGAAGAAAGCATGGGAGAGGGTATCACTCTCCAGGGAGAAGATTCTGGAATCACCCACTGCCTCTCCGACTTCCTGGTTCCTAGGTGAGGCTTCAGAGGGACCCCAGCCCACTTCAGCTCACTTAGCTGGGGAGGTAGGAGGTGTGCAGTGGCCACAAACCCAAAGAGGTGCTTCACCACACATGAACATATTGCATGCAAATCAATGGGTTTCCAGACAATCCTTATTACACTATGATAAACTCCTGAAAACTGCCCAGGTGCTACTCACAGCTGTGCCCCAGGCTGTGGTCCTTTTGTGATTGTTGAATGTGACAAAATGTAAGAGATCCAGTGTACTCCTGGCCAGAAGGAATCCTGCAGCAGCAGTTAACACCAATTATACCACCTAGCAGGGCTCCACAATTAGCCGGGCTTTCCTATTATTTTTTTGTAATTCAACATTTCTTTTCACAGTGGGATTTTTTCCCTTTATCCTCTGAGTTGGAATGGAAAAAATAGCTAATAATGAGAAAAAACTTGGACCATGGGCACGTACATAGCACATAGGAGTCTTGCTGCATAACTGGATAAAATGACTCCCAGATATCCTTGGGGAGGCCAGCAGACCAGCTGTGTCCATGGCATGGCCTAGCTGGGATTAGAGTCCTGTGCACCGAGCGAGGGGTGTGAGTACTGAAGCCTGGATCAGTAGCTGTGTGATTTGAGCTTAAAGGACATTCTTGCTGCATACTTCTTATAGAATGTGCCATATTATGGTCAAAGCCAAGGCCTCTTTGAGTTCCCACATTAAGTCCTGTTCTGACCTCTATTCCCAGTTTCAAGTAACCACTGATAACAGGTTATAGATGTTGTTAAGGTATTCTACAAATTTACATATATACATATTTACTCATATATAGCAATTTTAAATATATACATATGTACTTAATATATAGCAAGTTTAAATATTTTTGCATGAATAGGATCATTCTGTATAAATTATTCTATAACTAGAGGCCCGGTGCATGAGATTCATACACTGTGGGGGAGGGGAAGAATCTCTCAGCCCGGTGTCAGACATCCCTCTCACAATCCGGGGCTCTTGCAGTCTGGGACCCCTCGCTCCTGCCTGCAGCAGAGGCGGGAGAGGTTCCTGCCACTGCTGGGCTCACTAGTCTTGAGCTGGCTTCTGGCTGAGTGGTGCTCCCCCTGTGGAGTGCACTGACCACCAGGGGGCAGCTCCTTTATTGAGCATCTGCCCCTGGTCGTCAGTGCATGTCATAGTGACCTGTCGTTCCACTG